GAAGAAGAAGAAGAAGAAGAAGAAGAAGAAGAAGAAGAAGAAGTCCCCATGTATTCAAAAATAATTTTCAAAAAATCGTCCCCAGACTATTCCTTAAGTTATTTTTTGAGCATTCCCCCTGTAGAGAGGCACGCCCGACCGAAAGCGTAGGCGGCGGGCCGCGGGCAGGCGCGCGGACCCCCCCCTCTGGGTAGACCACCAGGCCAAGGGCGGGGGCAAGGGGCAGGGGGCGAGCACGATGGGCCCCATTGCCCACCACCACCACCACCACCACCACCACCACCACCATAGGTAGGAGAGGAGGAGGAGGAGGAGGAGAAGGAGGAGGAGGACGAGGAGGAGGAGGACCTCCCCATCCTGCCTTCTCCCCCGTCCTACCTGATGGTAGTGGTGGTGGAAGATGGGCCCGTCAGAGCAGGCCGAGGGGCCGGAGGGGAGGCGCAAATTGGCGGTCCGCCGAGGGGGGGGGGTCCACGGCCTCCTCTCTCCCTGCCCCCGCGTGCCGCCTGCACCTCCCGCCTGCTCCTCCCGCCTGCTCCCGCCGCCCCCCCTTCCGGGCGCCGCTCTGGAGCCTCCCCTGCTTGAACTCCTCGGTGTCGGTCCAGTTCTGGCCGGAGCCTGAGTGGGTGCTGTCGTCCCCTGGAGTGCGGTCGGTGTTGTCGTGGGGAGGCCGTCGGGTGCATGTCGGGGCAGGGTGGGGTGGGGTGGGGTAGGGAGGTCTTCGCATCGGTGCGTCGTCATGATGGCGATCCAAGGATGGACCCGTGCCGAATCACGGGACGGTTGCCCATGCGGCGGGGGGGGAAGGGAAAGAAGGGGTTCGCGTTGACCGCGTATCAGGCTGGGGTCGTCGCTGCAGGGTGCAGCTGTTCCCTGCCAGCGGTAGCCATCCATCCCTGCGTGGGCGGCGTGGCTGGTGCCGTCTCTGTAGCCCGTCGGCGAATCGCACGCGCCGAATAGGCCTGCCGTCGTCAGGGGCGCCGTCAGTTGGGGGGACTTCGGGCTCCAAGGTCCGCGGTGCTTGGGCGGGGGCCTCGTCGCCGTCGGGTGCCACGGGCGCGTGCCAGGGAGTCGGTGAAGCGCACACGTCGTGGGGAAGGGTCGGCAGGGGCGCCGGAGGGAGGGCCCGGGCGGATCGCCAAGCGCGGGGCCGTGTGCGTCGAGTCGGCCGCCAAGTGGTCCATCGCATGGAGTCCCGCCACCCTCTCGCGAGTAGTCCGGAGCTGCTGCCGCTTCATGGCCCTGGTGGCCCGTCGGCGCGTCGTCGTGGAGATGCTAGATCTGAGCGTCGACGGCGCTGGCACCGGCGGAGTCGTCGACGTGGGCGCTGGCGCTGGCGCTGGTGATGGCGGGGAGGCGTTGGGTCCAGCGGGCCTCGAGGTCCCACAGGTTGGATGTCATCCACCTGGGGGCGTGCGGTAGGGCGTAGGGTAAGGGATCGAGCGTCGGGGAGTGGATCGCGGGGAAGGGATCGAGCGTCGGGTCCGTCGGGCTGGGGCAGAGGATCGGGTGGGGCAGCGGGTGCGCGGGGTGGTCGTCGGGCGAGGCGTCGGGTAAAAGTATAGGGCGGGGCGAAGGGGTGGGAGTCGGGCAGGACGTCGGGTCGTCGTGGTAAGCCGTCGTGGGAGGGCAGAGCGTGGGGCAGGGTGTTCGTGGGGAGGGCCGTCGTGGTGGTAAGGCGCGTCGTCGTGGGGAGGGGCGTCGGGTCGTCGTTGTAGGCTGTCGTGGTCGGTCGCGTCGTGGGGGGAGGCCTCGGGTCCTCCGTCGGGGCGGGCACGGGGTGGGTCGGAGGGGCGTCCTTGTGGGCCGTCCGGCCGTCCGGGTAGGCAGCGCTGACCGCGTGGCCGATGCAGGTCCAGTAGAAGGTCGGGGCGTGGGGAGTCCGCGTGGCGAGGCGTCGGGTACGGAGTGGGGTGGGGCGCCGGGCGGGGGGTCGTCGCGGCAGGGCTCGGCGTCGTCGCGGGGGTCGTCGGGGCGGGGGGTCGTGGGGGAGTGGGCGTCGTCGCCTTCCTTGCTGTCCTCCTGGCCTTCGTCCACCTTGCCCTCGCCCTTCCTGTTGTTGTTGGCGCTTGCGTAGGCGATGACGTTCACGCGGCGTCCTTCTGCTCCTGGTCGACGCGGCGTCCTTCTGCTCCTGGTCGACGTCCTCCTCCAGCACGCGCGCGACGTCATCCTCGTCTCGTGGCCGAAGTCGAGGCGGACCTGGCGCGGGGCAGCCGCCTGGTGTTGATCAGCTCCAAATTCCGTGGCGGATCTAGACGTGGCGACGGGAGAGGGGTCCTCGGCGACGTAGCCCGACGGGCTAGGTGGGGGGGGGGCCGCCGAAGGGATCCCGAAGGGGATTCCCATCTTTTCTTTCTTTTGGGCTACGGCCCGGGTCTACTCCAGGATGGAGCGCCCAAAGGGGCAAATCGGCGCTGTCGCATGCTACGCTAGCTGTGGCCCTCTGCGGAACTTCCTGGGTGCCCCCCTCGTCCTCGTACTCCTGGCCCTCCTCGCGGAGGCAGCTAGTCACCTGGCGCGGGATGCCGGTCGCTTGGCCCAGCTAACGCAGCAGCCGCGGTGGCCGCCAGACAGCTCGAGGCGGGGTAGGCGACTCCGGGCGCGCGCGCGCGCCGCAAGCAAGGGTCGGCGGCGTCGGCGGCGGCGCCGTCCAGCAGCGCCGGCGGCGGGTAGTCCAGCAGCCCAGTATCGCGGCAGGGAGCTCGTCCTGCGGCACGCCCCTTTCGCTGTGAACCTCGATGACGATTTACTTGGTGCCAGCGAGCTGCATGTAATCGATGCTGGTGTCGACGAAAGGCTGTTGTCTCCTGATCGCGGCTTCTTCGTGCTGCATGTTGCGCAACCAATTACGAGCATTGACGTGTCGGGATGGTCCTTGGATTGCGCTGGCTGGAGGGTACACGAGCTGCATCGCGTCGCAGATGGCGATGGGCCGGCCGCGCCCCGAGAAACTGGCTAGGCCTTCCCGGAAGCCTCATGACCATAGGGCTTACAGTCGGGGCGTTGACCTAAGGAACCCTAAATAAGGAACGAGGCCCCTATTTTCCATAAGTTAAACGTCGATTTCATATCGAAAAACAAAGGAAACCTAAGGCAAGCTGCGAAACAATTAAGGAACACGGAGCCCCTCCCCGATGAAAAAAAAGGGTTCCTTCTTCAGCGCCCCGACTGTAGGCCCAGAAGTGCCCGATCTGTCTCCGTGGGCAGTCTTGGTGGTGGCGAGGGCGTGCACGCGGAGCTGGTTCTTCGGCGCGGGCACACGGTCCACCATGGCGGCGCCTCGCACAAGCGCAGCCGCGCCGCGGGCCCCGCCCACCACGGCCCCTTCGCCTTCCAAGCGTAGGAGAGGGAACGCCTCCTCCTCATCCTCCTCCTCCTCCTCTTCTTCCTCCTCCTGTTGCTTCTGCTGCTGCTCCTGCTCCTCCTCCTCCTCCTCCTCCTCCTCCTCCTCCTCCTCCTCCTCCTGCTCCTCCTCCTCCTGCTCCTCCTCCTCAGCATCCGCAACCTACTAGTATGAGTGTCCTTCTTCTTGTTGCTAAAACAGTAATGGTAGTGTTCGCATTCTGCTTAGTACTACTATCATTCGTATTACTCAAGTTCCTCTGGATTGATATTATTATTCGGTTTATCAGGATTAGTACCATCCAGGTTGCTACTATTACTGTTGTTCGTCATAGCTTGCTTGTTATTCACACTAATCCTCCTCGTCCTCCTCCATTCATTGTCCTCCGCCTACAGCCCTGTTCCTCCTCCTCCTCTTCGTCATCCACCTCCTCCTGCTGCTGCTGCTGCTCCTCCTGCTCCTCCTCCTCCCCAACATCCTCAACATTGTCCTTCTTCGTTTTGCCATTAGTATCGTTAGTATTCGTCGTCTTCTTAGTACTACTATTATTTGTATTACTCAAGTTCCTCTGAATTGATATTAACAGTACTGGTCCTATTGATATTACAACTATTACTGTTGTTCGTCATATGGTGCTTGTTGCTCAAGTCAATCCTCCTCGTCCTCCTCCATTACTTGTCCTCCTCCTCCAGTCCTTTTCCTCCTCCTCCTCTTCGTCATCCTCCTCCTCCTCCTGCTGCTGCTGCTGGTCCTGCTCCTACTGATACTGCTCCTCCTCCCCCTCCGCCTGCTTGTCCTCCTCCTCCTCCTCCTCAACCTCCTCAACCTCCTCATTATTATTATCCTCCTCCTCCTGCTCCTTCCCCTCCGTTTCCTTATCATCATCTTCTTCATGCTGTTATTAAGTTTCGTCTCATTGTCCTAGTGTTAGTTCTTATCAATAGTATTCGTATCAACCTTATCTTTTCATGTCTAGTAGTAGTTATAGCGTGCATGCTATTTGTCTTGATGATATTCTTCTCAATACGATTACCTATATTATTCCTCCCTCCTCCTCCTCGTCCTCCTCCCGCTGCTGCTAATCCTCTCCTCCTCGCCTTCCTCCTCCTGCTGCTGCTGCTCCTCCTCAACCTTCTCAACCTCCTCATACTCCTTCTCCTCCCATCCTCCTCCTCCTCGCCTTATTCCTCTCGTCTTCTTCTTATTCGTATAGTTAATATGATGAGTATTACTACTACGAGTAGTATGATTAGTCGTGCTCGTGTTCCTGGTATTCGTATGATCTTAGTATTCGGGTTATGAATATGTTGACTCCCATTGCCAGCATTATTCATAAAATTAGTAATAGCGCTTCGCCTTATGATTATTCTCAGTAGTAGTCATGTCAGTAATATTAACGTTCTTCTTTTTATTATCAATATTATCAGTGGTATGTTTCGCAGCACTCGCATCTGCAATGAGAGCAGTAGTCTTCTTACTGCTAGTATAACCATTGTGATGATGAGTCTGCTTATTCGTCTTACTACGATTCCTCCTCCTCCTCCTCCTCCTCCTCCTCCTCCTCCTCCTCCTCCTCCTCCTCCTCCCCCTCCCCCTCCTCCTCCGCCTCCCTCCTGGGATCCCCGGATCCGCCCCCCGCCCTCGGAGGAGCCTC